TGGTCATGAAATGTTCAAAGATATAAAGTAAGTATTAAAGACTAATAGCATATATGATCTTAAGTCAGTAAGTAACAATCACTGCTATTGTGAACTTTCTCTAACAATTTTACGTATGAATATTTATATAAGTATGTGCACCCAGGTGCATGTGTACCTCAAGCTTCTCTCGTCTAGCCTCTCGATGCTTTCCCTTCCACCATAACTACCACACACCGTTTTCCCACAGGTCTATTGTTTAGACTTGTCTCTAATTTCTTGTCAGATAGTAAGTAAATTTCCATTTAAATGATTTATTTTTACCTCCTTTTTTTAGAATAAATTCTAGCAGTCAAATTATTGAGTTAGTATGTCTAAGCTCTTCAAATACTGAATTACCTGTCAGAAGTATTATACCCATAACTAATGAAAAGTCCAGGTCAACTATCTCTAAAACAAAACAAAAAAACAAAGAAAGGACTATATACTTACTGTCTTCAAGCAAATCCGTTATATTTAATTCTAGGGAAGGAAAAATTTTTTCAAACAGTTTGAAGTCTCTTCCAAACCGAGGCATCTGAATAATCAAGCATGATGGTTCCTTAAAAGAAAAAAAAAAAAGACACATAGTTTTAGAAACCAAAGTCCTGAGGAACTGGGCACTTTGCTCATTATAGTGCTTACTTAGCATGTCCCAAGCCTTGAGTCCTAACCCCTGTACTAATGGAGGAAACGTGTAAAAGAAAAAGTTTCCCTATGGAACTGAAATAGTCATAGCTGTGAAACCCAGTAGTGGTGTCAGCAGTGCTGTTGGCCCGTGAAGCAGAGCCCACTTGTGAATGTACAGTGTGGACGCAGAGCAGCAATAAGCTACAGGTTTTCCGGACATCCCCGGAGACGAACATGACAAAACAGACCACAGCATGCACTGCAGAGATCACACGTTCTGACAGTCAGAGACGTTTCTATTGCATTCATCAGCAAACCCATACACAAGAATTTATTGGCATTTTATCTCTTAACAGAGGGAGAAAAAAATAACATTACCTTTGACATGTTTAGATACTATGCATGGGTAAAATGACAACTGAACACATAAACATGTATGCACACATATCTTTGTCATTGAGCTACTTGAAACTTAAAAATTAGCTTTTGTTCCCTTTGCAAATCCAAAACATTCCAACTTAAGCTAAGCGGCTGTCTTTAAAAAGAACAAAGTTAGAATACGATTTAAAAAGAAAATGTGTCTTCTTAACTGTTTCTTCAAACTATTCTTGCTTAAAGCACAGTGATAGCTAGGTGTGGTTCAGTGGGGCAGCACTTGGGATAGTGTGTACAAAAGGCCTCTAGCACTGATAAGAAACAAAATAAAGTAGCAATACAAGTCCAGTAACAATCACTAACCTCTGCAAATTTCAGGTTGCTGTTGGTAAAAGACCACTCTAGCAGCTGCTCAGTTGTAGGAACTCCAATTTCTTTGTTTTTTTCTACAAAAATCTGATAGACATCGCAATCCTGAACTTCCTGACCTGCTGATCTGGAAGCACACAGAAGGAAATGCACATAAGCCAGCTATCAAACGCCGTCTGATGGACCTGAGGCCACAACATCAAATGCTCATGTTGAGCTTTGGATCGTCCACACACCAGGTGAAAGACAATGATTTGGATGAGATAATTAAATGTGCTTATGCAGAAGACCTCATAAATTACTTCTTCTACCTTATTTATAAATTATTCAAAAGTTCTCTTGCCATCACAAGAAAAATGTAGAATAATATTCCAATCAAGAAACACTATATGAACAATAATCAGTCCTTCTCCCTCCAAATTTAGAACGTAGCAACTGCTTTTTCTAAAAAAAAAAAATTATTTTGTGTCCATTGGTGTTTTTCCACGGATGTGTTTTCCACTGAAGTTATAGACAGTTGTGAGCACTGATTTTACTGACTAGAACAGATGCTACAATGTCTCAGCGACAGACTCTTAGACCTTCTAAATCAAATGTCTTTACTTCCTAAAATAAAAGTCCTGGGAGGGAGGGAGAGGGAGGAAGGAAGGGAGGGAGGGAGGGGGAGGGAGGAAGAGGGCGGGAGGGAGGGATATTTTCCTAGCAAGTCAAAGCAGGGCAAGGTGTGACTCTCAAGAACCCTAGCAAATATCCTCTAGGCTTTTAGCTACCAGCAGCTCTTTAGATGGTCACCCACCAACTTGACAAACACCAGGTAAATGGTCATGATGAAACATGAGGGTCCAACATCTCCCTTCCCTTACCAGCTTACTAGTAACCATTAAAACTAACTCTACTGAGAAAACTGTTTTTCATCTTTCAGCTTACCGCTTATCTTTTTTAGCCAGCTGTCTGGGTTTAGAATCAGATTATTTAAATGTATGTCTAGATTTAAAGAGTTTAACAAAAAAACTATCAGCAGTTTTTATCACAAAACTTCTGTAATTCAGAGAGCAGCCTATTGTGATCTTCAGCTGCCCCAAGCAAATTATGTCCTGAATTTACAAAACATAAAATCTGGTAACTAGTTAGAGCACCCTTGAGGACTCAAAGCTAACAAAAACAGATTATAATCTAAGAAACTAGCAGTTATTCTAGAATAACATTTCAATTGGTTGTTGATGACTACAAAAAATCATAGAAAAATTCATAGTTAAAAACAGCATAGAAGAAAAAACAAAAATAATGGAGGTAAAAAAATCACACCCAGAAATATCAAGGATGGCCAGGAGAGGCATGGCAGCTAGTGAATGGAGGAAGAGATGCATAGTGCCCTAACACTGTAGCAGAAAACTGGGAGGAACAACAGCCACTCAGAACTCACTTCCAGGGCCAGGCATGGTGGTGCACACCTTTAATCCTAGCAATCAGGAGACAGAGGCAGGTGGATCTCTGTAAGTTCGAGGCAAGCCTGATCTACAAAGCAAGTTCCAGCACGGTCAGGGCTATATAGAGAAACCTGTCTCAAAAAATCAAACCAAACCTAAAACGAAAAACAAAACAACAAAAATCACTCCTAAAATCATATGCACAGGGAAGTTTTTTAACCACAAAGAACAAAGTATGTCAGTCACAAAAAATGGATACAACTGGAAAGAAACATACTAAACAAATTAAACCAGTCCCATAAAGAGAAACAATGTATGTTTTCTTTCATTTATGATTCCTAGATTTTCTACAGATAGATAAAAAGCATTAATTTGTATATGACACGAAAGTAGACATGATGTTGTCTAAGGAACAAAGGAACTATGAGGAGGGAGACAGGGAAAGGGACAGAAGCGATGGAGGTACAGGGGAAACATACTCAGTATACAATATGGAGTTTATGAAAATTTTAGAAAATGATAAAAATAATTTAAAAAAACCACCACAGCTAGTGTTTTAGAAGTCTGGAAACCTACAGAATCAAAACCAAGTTGTGAAACTGTACCAAGCCATGCTAGTTGGGTTGTATTTTCCACTAGGGACAATCCAAGGGCACAAGAATACAAATTTGGTAACTTTTAAAAAGTGGATATTGACATTTTACAAACATTAATATAAAAACATTCACGGATTGGTATGGTTTGAACCTGTCTTTGTGGTGCAGACCATAATAGGTGGGTCCTGAGGTCCTATACTCATCACAAAATCCTGTAGCTCTACGATGAACATGGGAGGCTTGTGACGTCACTGCCCAGCTACAAGGAGCCTGGGTCGCCCTGCCTTGATATTCTTGTTACTCTTGCTTTGGTCTGACCTTTCTTTCTTGCTCTGCCCCCAACTCCTTCCTTTTAGGATGAGAAGCCAACCCTGTGCCACTGTAAACTGGAAGTATAAAACTTGCTTATTGGTTTTTCAGGAACTCATGGTTAAAAAGACTATTTTTGAACAGTGTTGAAACATTAAAAATTATGGAAGCTTCTGAAGTTACAATGAATGTATTCTGCATTAAAGATGACCAAGAACCTATCGGGACAAAGAGTAGAAAGTAATAGCTTTAAAATCGTATGCTTAAGTCGGGTGTGGTGAAGCATACATTTAATTTCAGCACTCAGGAGACAGAGGCAGGCAGATCTCTGTGAGTTTGAGGTCAGTCTGGTCTACAAAGTGAATTTCAGGACAGACAGCAGCCAAGACTGTTACACAAAGAAAGCCAGTCTCAAAAAACTTGGGGCCTAAGAGACAGAGAGTTCAGCCACTAAAAAAACTAAGGCCCACACTGCAATGGCAGTGAAAAAGAAGGTCTACTTCTGAAGGTACTTCTAGACAGCTTGAGACCTACCTTATTTTTAACAATGGTTCAACCCTTAAAATATCATGAAACAGGACACTTAGAAATTCTTCAGGGTCTAGGAGAAAACAAAACAAAACAAAACAAAAAACCTAAGTGAATCACAGAGAAAATTTAAAAACCATTCTATTCTTTAGGAGAGACATATTTCTACAATGAAATTAATTTCATTCGTGTAATATTATTTTAAATAAAAGTTTAGTTAGTTTGGGTTCTTCTGGCAAGAAAAAACTTATAGTAAACATTACCTTTTCATTTGTTGTCACGTTGTCATATATTAACAGAATATACTCATTCACACACAGTGAAATCATTTTTATGTCATTTGGGGGTTCAGTAGAATAATACCTGATATATGCCCTATTTTTTCTTCTATTTAAGTACTAGCCATGTGTATAAATGCCACAGCTGATTATAGTGTACTGTTAACAAACTTAAATTCAGGAGTTGAATCTGAGCAAATTCTTCAGTTGTGAGTAGACAGAAGTGCTGGCCAGCTGTTCCAGAGCCACTTTCAACAGGGAGCACAGTGAGAAACTGAGCGCTGGGGACACTCCCTATTACAGGAAGAGAAGCAGCTCCAAACAGCACTGCTGGGGACAAGGACAGCTCTTTACTTGGTCATCTTCTGGAGAGCCAGTTGGCTGGCCTATTAAAGACTTCTTTCACATCACATCACTTTAGAAGAATCACAAAATCAGGAGAAATATGCATGTCACATAGAAAAGAAACTTTTTTCATATTTTTGCAGTGCTGGGAATCAAACTTAAGGCCTCTTACATACTCTACCAATGAGTATACTCCAAGCCCTCTCAAATAATTCTAACTTAAATTTAATCCTCTAAACTAAAATAGGTATATTTCAGGAAATAATTATCTTTCAAGTTATTTTCAGTGCATATATTATAAATTAAAAGGGTCACCTTTCTCTTCAGATGTAAATCCTGATCCAGCGTCAACTCTTTCAAGTATTTTCCTCAGTTTCATAGTTTTTGTAGCACACACATATCCATATCTGTTGATAAAAGTGAATTAACTGACACTGGCACAGTGAGTTATATGACACAACCAATAACCAATACTTTTCATACAATTCTAACATGTTAAAAAAACAATAGACAAGGCATTTATTTTTAAGAAACAACTGTAGGCTTCTTACAGAAGTTTGAAAAGTGAAAGTCTGAGAATTGGAGTTGTTCCCAGATACTATTAAACACCTTAAAAATAACTACCATGTACTAATACAATTCTGAACTTTTTATGAAGCCTGAGTGAAGCGATTTTTAAATGGCATTTGCTTATTATATTAAAACACTTAGTTTATAAAATAGGATATACAATAAAACAGTAAACAGAACACCAACTAAAGACAAAACACATGTCTTCTACTTACATTCTCAGAGGATTGACTATTTCTGTCCTTAGTATCTCCTGGGTCTCATTATAATACTCTACATCATTCTTTTCTTTGGGTCGAAGTAACACAGTATCCAGGACAGAACTAAAAGCAAATAAGCTGCAAAAGAAAAGAATATTTTCCTCATGTTATAAAAACAATCATATTTGAGAAAGATTCTTAAAGGAGTAGGAAGAGGCAAAGGGATAAAGTGTAGGGAACCACTGGTATAAGAACTCATGAACAGACAGCACAGGCCCTGTGCTCAGCACCCAGAGACCCTGCAGATCCGGACCAGAAACACCAAGACTGCACCATACACGTGAAGGTTGAAAACGCGCCAGAGAACATTAGGAAAGAAGCTTGTTTACATAAACCAAGAGGGACCTGGAAATCGGTCACACACACACACACACACAGACAACATAGGGAGAAAGGCAGAGACTGGTCAAGACCAGATCAGACTAGTCAGGACACATTCATCTCATTATCATAAGATAGGCATTTCCTTAAAATAACTTGTGAGTGATTAGCAATAAAAATTTGCTGGCATCAAAGAAAATAAATTTAGTTAAAATTAATTTTTATCAGTAAATCTAAGGAATATTATAGTAATGCTTGCTTGTTTGTTTAATCAAAAGTATTCCACCAACGAAAAGACCCACCTTTATTCTGCTGTCTACTTTTAAAATTCTAACATCCATACTAACTTCCTAACTCTTGTGGCACAGCCTACAGAGTGGCAGATCCACTTAATTTAACTGGCAATGCACAACCCTTACTGCTACAGATTTAATCTTTATAGCCTAATGATCCTTGCTGTTCAACTTGATCCACTTTAGGGAAAACTACACAAAGGAGGGCAACAGTGATCCCATGGAAAGTAATTTTTAATATTAAGAATTTTTATGATCATCTCAATATTCCAGAACACACGCAGCACGCAATGCCAATAGCTTGCTGCAGGTTACTTGGCATACGTGCAATCATCTACATTGGAGGCAGATGTCCTCAGAGTATCTGTTCACTCATTATTCATTGCAGTATTTTTAGATTAGTGCTTTGGATCTAGGAATAGGATATGAAATTCTTTAGTCACTAAGGACCAAATCTCATGATCTTTCCTAACTGTCAGTTTCTCTACTTAAAGGCATCTGGCACCTTCTTTCACACACACACATACATACCTGTCTCCCTTCTACCCCACACAGCACTACATACACTTACTGCAGAAAATAGGAACTTACGAGAATAAAGTTGAGTCTAAGTAACAAGAATTGTAATAGCCCTGGATGCCTTTCTTCTTTCCAGTCATTATTTTTAATCCTTTTTTTCCCATATTTGGTGGAGTATTTTCTTCCACTACTTTACTTAAGTAGCCTGCAAATGCTGAAAAGATAAAAAATAAAAATAATTCTTTTAAATCACGACAGTATATATTCATATGCATGTACATATATATTATTTAAAGTATATTTTGACATCCTCTGCATTTTTTACTTCAGTTCACTGATATTTATCTGGACTTATAAAAATGCGATATTCACTTTCAACATCATTCCTGTCATAGAGTTTAGAAAATTAAGTCAATTAAGCATCTGTCAAAGAATATTTTGTTACTAGTCCACAATGTTTCATTTTCAAGGATAAAAAGAAACAAGTTTCCAAAATACCCTTCAACATTAAGAAAAATGTTTTTCATAAAGATGGTTTCCCTAGTTCCCTCCTTCTTGACTCTCACTATGGTTAAGGGAAAGGCCAGCATCAGCAAGCTAGTGACAATGAGAAGAATTGTCCTCCATCTGTCAAGCCAACTGCATCCCCAGACCGTATCAGATTTCTTCATGAGGACATCCTGAATGAGGGACTTAAATAGACGCGGAGG